TTCCTAAAATTTTTAAAAGTATGTAATAAGTACAGTGTTTGTGTTCTACAAGCTGATTATGATTATTCAGAGATTCCTAAAACTTATACTAGCTTTTCTTCCAAATATTATTTAAATATTTATTATTTTATTATTATAATATTTTCTTTTCCTTTGTACTGACCGACTCTATTTAAGCGATTTTCATTCACCTAAAACGAATCTACGTAAAACGGAGGGACGTGTGATTTATACTGACATGACAGCGTATTCGATGGAGATTCGATGTGGGAGTACTTAATCAGTTTGATTGTTATTTTAACGAAGAACAATGATGTCCACTTATCTTGACTAATAGTTTATATTATATAGTTTTTCAACGATGCTATGTTCAGAAACCCACACATGCTACCACCCAGCTCAATCCTTATTATTCCCCTGTCGTTGCCAAACTGGGAAACTTTTGGCACAAAGATTATAACTATATATACGAAGGAAATAGAATCCAGCTTTCATCTCAGTATCAACTGATCGGTCGAATTTTTGCAGCTGACGAAATCACGACTTGTTTGCCTGTAATTTGTATCCTTAAACTTTGTGCCAATTCCGGTAAACTCGTGTAAAAGTTTAAAAAATATCATTTGAGTGAGAACGAAGAAGAAGAAAACGAAAATAGGTCAAGATGTTACTAACAAGGAAACCCCCCAACCCGACTCCACCGATTTCAATAATTTTTTGATATGTTGTAGTACTCGACAAAATAAGAGACACGTATTTTTTTTTGTGCTGACATCCACTTTAAAGGGGTGAAAAGGACCTCTGAAATTCACCCCCGAAAATCGTTTTTTTATCATATCTCGACTTCTAATTAATATTTTTTTTTAATAAAACCAAGTGGAAAATATTTGTCATAAGAAGTCGAAGATATGAGGTGTGTTTATGACCCAACTCTTTATGACCCTTATTTTATATTTTGAAAAAACTATATTTTTTATGCTTTTTTCTGCATAAAAACCGGGGTATGGGCTCAAAAACATAAAGAGTTGGGTCATAAACACACCTCATATCTTCGACTTCTTATGACAAATATTTTCCACTTGGTTTTATTAAAAAAAAATATTAATTAGAAGTCGAGATATGATAAAAAAACGATTTTCGGGGGTGAATTTCAGAGGTCCTTTTCACCCCTTTAAAGTGGATGTCAGCACAAAAAAAAATACGTGTCTCTTATTTTGTCGAGTACTACAACATATCAAAAAATTATTGAAATCGGTGGAGTCGGGTTGGGGGGTTTCCTTGTTAGTAACATCTTGACCTATTTTCGTTTTCTTCTTCTTCGTTCTCACTCAAATGATATTTTTTAAACTTTTACACGAGTTTACCGGAATTTCATTTACACGTCATCGTTTATTAGCCGTACAATCTTCCTTCTCTTACCTCTCCAATATGATCGCTTAGGTGTCAACCTCTCATATCAATTTGAATTTGTCATCACTGAAATAACACCAACCGGACTGGTGGTTTGAAACTTGTTCACGGCTTTTGAGTTTCTCCACGTATTTATTGATCGATTATTTTTCACTGAAGAATACTGAGGTACTTTGTTGGAACTGTACAAGTTTCGGAGGCAATCCCTTAATGTCTTGACGATATTTTTTATGTGACGTACCTTTACAAGACAACTTCTGGATTCCTAACCAATTATCAAGGAATTGCCTTGTCTTTCCGGCTTCTGTCGTTAACATTTCGAGATAGGCAAGCGAATACATTAAGTAAATTTACTGCGTAGTGCTTATGTGTCGTTGAGATTCTATTTAGCTTTTCTTAACGTCATTACTTCAATTTAATAGTTATTGTACATATCACTTTGTGTGACACACAAGAACACATACATGCGCGCGCGCGCACACAAGTATAAAGTTGGCTTTGGGCTATTTTGGATGCGATTTCATCTACGTATTGGCTATTTTGAGGAAATGTGGCTGTTTCGAGGTCTGTCTTCTAAAAATTTTCAGAGTAACAGCTGTTTTGAGAGCCATAAAGCGGGGTGTCACACCAAATTTGTTTAAATTTATTCAATGCTAGACACCCGGAGTTGTGATGGGCTTAGAAAATATTTTTTTAGGTTACGATATAGTAAAATTCCAACGCTGTGTTCTGTGCTCTTTATATTGCCTGTCCTCAGACTATACGATACACAAGTTTATATATAGGGTGTCTCACCGAAAGTGCACACTTAGATTGCTTCCGTCACTAATGAAGATACGGGGAAAAGTTACAGACAAAAACTGTATGGTTTCAAGGGGGTAGGTTTTTCATTCAAATGATTTTTTCTTATATCCATTGGATTTCCAGATACAGCACGTTACACGTTTTTTTTTTTTAATGGAACATTATTTTCTGTTGGTATAAGAAAATATAGCTCGTTTTCTTCTTAACACTTTAAGACCTTACGGACTAAAATCCATCCAGCCTTTTCCAAGTTATCGGAAAGTAAATTTATTAAACAATCTTCGATTGCGAAATTAAGCGCACGAATCCTAAATGCTCCCGCGGCGCTGCAACCGAAAATTGCATACTGTACATTTGCAAATACACGCACTATAGCATAGCAATTATATGACATTCTCCACTCCTGCTATTGTGAATTAAGAAGAAACAAAGTGGAACTTTCTCAAGTTACTTGTTTTTAGTCTCTGTTCTAGTACACGGCTGTCCCTTGTTCAGTGAAGCTAAATTATAATTGTAAATATCGTGTACAGTACAATCGTTGATGCGATAAAATCACATTATTTCCATTAAAGATTCCTCATTTATTTTCGGTAGTTAATATCAAGCTAACCTTCGATTCACTAAATTGTAACTTTTGTGAAATCACATATATTTCTATACGAAGATGAGAGTACCTGGTAAGTAATTTTCATAATGCATTCCACTTCCAGGATTAAAACGTAACCCATAAGGTTTCGGAAAATTGAACACAGCGAATGACTATTCATTGATATACATAACACGCATAATATCTAAATATCAGTGTCAATCATACTTTCGTGCGATTTTAATTAAAGGTCAATATTCAGATGATTTTATTCATAATCTATTGTGCATATATTCGTATGACTAAATTAAAGCGACATTGTGACGTTTATTGTCCCACAGTACAAGACATCCACCAACAATCAGACTGTCCGTGATAAATAGCTCATTTTTCATTCACCGAAGTAATGCTGTAAAAAATTGATAATCCGATAAGAGATAGATAAACATAATGATCAAAGGTCAATAATTCATATTTAATTTGAATGTGTATGAAAATATAATAGCATGGTCATTACGTATAGAAACGATAAGGGTATATGTATACGATAAGAGATATTGTTCGTATGATAGACGTTCTTGAAAAAAATGACTGATAAGTCCCACAATGCTGTCATTATATCAACCAATTCTTAATTATAAAAAAAAAACATAAATTTATAGTAATAACGACAATAGCGTGTCGAGTGTACTTACTATATGTAACATTTAATTTAACATTAACGGAGTATAACATTTTGACAGATAAATTTTTGTAGCGGTAATGAGCGTTTCTGCTGTTGGCACGTGTCTGTCTTCGTCTAATTTTCTAGCCTGCTGTCAGCCTTCAGGTTCACATGTCAGAAGTTTGCCAGTAAGAAAATGAAAGGGTTCCCGTATGAGAAATTCCCATAAGAATTCGTTCTTTAACGATGAGTGCCGAGTAACGTATTTCGATGCAAGCTCGATCGGTTGAACAATAGAGATTGGAATAAGTCCTGAGGGATCAGAGCAATAAAACCAAAGATGGAGAACTTCTACAATTTTGTTTTAAGCAGCATGAAACGATTCCGAATTTTCGATCTGTTTTATTCTGATAAATACTTCAATAATTTGGCAGGAGCGATAGGTCTGTAGGGAATGACCACTCGAACAGTATTTTATTCTTACTCATGTTACACCGTACACGAATGTATATTGTAACGTGTACGAGGCGTGGACGCAAAAGCATTGAAATTGTCAAATTTGCATTTGACAGTCGTACCACTTTCATTGCAATGTAAAAATGCTAATTCGATGGCGAGCTGTAGTTTTGTACTCTTCCTTTTTTCGAATAGGTGGAAGTCGTTCTGTGGAGTGTATAAGTAATTCAGTGTGTTCAATTTTCCGAAATGTTATGGGAAACGAGCGTTATTGGATGTGGCTATGCAGGCCAATGGGATTCTATCTTGATTCGCCGGAAGTAATGGCAATTTACGCATTGAAACCGGATAATAAGAGAAGATTCGTAGTTCGAAGTTTGGCTCGGTCAGAATCACGCCAGTGAAAACATTAGCAATAACTGCGTAGTATGGTACACTGGATTACAAAGGAATATTTTGACTAAATAGGAGTCTGGATAGTTTTTTGTTGTGCGACGAACGATAACACTTTCATTGAAGTGGCTCTAGATTCTTTTACCCTTCTAAGACCTGCCGACAAATACTTTCCACTTTGAAGAAAAATGGACTACTTACTCCTATAGCTAAACTCGTGTCGTTAGTATTGCGAGAATATCGCGAACCCTCTACGTATTACATATCGTTGCAATTTTTCAGCCCTTTCTTTTTCCTACTCCCAGCACCTTATCATTTCCACTATAATGTCTGAAATTATTGAAACGATTTCTACTTGGCCCTAAATAGTGGAATGCGATCAGTAAAGTGTCAACAAGGCTGGAGTAAAGATTCGCACCCGTCGGGAAACCTTAAGAAGACAAGATCCCTAATCTGTCGTGATAGTGATCGATCTAGTCGGACGTTGATTTGTAAGGGCGGAGAGTTGAAAGGGTGGTGTGGCCCGACCGCGCCCAGGGGACTCGAATAATCCAGCAGTGGTAACGGAGAATATTTTTTCAAGGATAATCCTATGAAATACAAAAAAGTTTTTATTTTACCGGATAAGTAAAGAGTAAAAGCAAATTAAAAGAGGGGAGTCAAATAAGTACCATTCCCAACGAAAATTACCTTCCGTACACATAAATAGTATAGCAGCAATGGAGAGCCTCGCTTGCCATCGCAGTGCCATTTCCGTGACTTTTCGCGGGTCCACTTCGATTTTCAAATGATGCGTGTTCTCTTCATATCTTCCTCGCGCACTTCGCATGCACTTCCGCCCGGCAACGGCGTTCACCGAACAACAACATTCTGCCACATCGATGCCACCCCCGTTGGTATTCACGGTTTCATCCACTTTGCTAGGCCGAGTGAGTCCGCTCGGCTTGCGGTTTGGTTTCAGCCGCGATTAGGTTAATTTCAATTTGCACACTGCTAACCCCAAGCTTAGAATTACTAGCGCGGTTCGCATGCCGAGAACAACTTTCCGTCAGGATGAATCACACAGGGGAGCATGGGTATTAGACTCGTATGGGCTTATGTATTACAACACATAAAACGAGAGACGCGAAAGCCCTCGTATGTATCTCTTTCTACGTATGGGAATGTATGTGGATGTATTTACGTTTCATCGCAATACCCGGGAGAAGTTGCGAAATGGGCAAATGCAGAAGTGCGAAAACGGATAGACGAAGAAATGGGGGGAGCGAGAGTATGCGAGAGAGAGAAGGGAAATAATAAGGGATGTGTGCATGCACCGTCCGTCGAGGGGATAATATAACGGGATTGGTGGGTTGCGCCGAAACGTTGAACAGGAAAACTTTGACCGTTATCGTATATTCGTGGCAGCAATAATAATTTTCAGCGACCGTTGCCACGCTTTGGTCTTATTCTCTCGTAGAACCTTAGAAAAGTTTCAATGATCTTGTTGAGAGTTTTATAATTTTTTATCCTTTTCTTTTCACTTATATTACGATACTTTTAGTCTGTTTTTCTTTAACACGAACAAAGCCGAACTATCGACGATCCTTAGACTGTGACCATGAATTAGTGCTTATTATTATAAATCGCTGATTCCTCGTGCACTTAAACATTAAAAGATACTGTGTCGTTTTAAATTTTTTTCTTTTTTAATTACCACATTTACATATGAATTATTTAATTTTATATTCACTCGTATTCCTCTTTTCAACTCTCATAGCAAAAAGTACGCTTTTCAAATATAACTTTGATTCTTCCGATTCACTTGTTATTCTTTCGGATTATGGCACATCCATCCCATAGTGTTTAAGGATACGCAAGCGGTAATGTTTTTGACGAAAATAAATTTTTTCTTTCTCAAAAAATAATGCGCGTTCTCTCTCATGATAGTTACCAGATATTCTTTTTTTTTAAATATGCTTTTTTTCTCGTGGAGGACGTACGCGCACCAGGGTATATAGTACGACACGCACCACGTCTTGATCCGGTGGCAGATTTCCCCCGACTGGGGAGATTCTTGTCCGTCGGAGCATGCGCGTTTCCGATCCATCCCCTAGAAAGGTAGGAGATACGTACTATACATAAGTGTACATAACGGGGGTACAGAGTGCGCAGCTCCGTGTGCGTGGGGTGCCACCCTCAGCCATGTACGATACTCTGTGCCACCGTTAGAAGCTATAGGACACTGTCCAGGGGTAGGTTCGCAGGGAAATTTATGCAGGCTGTCCAGTAAATAATTATACTGTGGATGGGAGAATCTACTTCCGGTTAAGGCTTCATGATTAACTGATTCCCCATTATAGCCAATTTGTGCTGTTATCAAGATATTTTGAGAATTATATCTGATACCATTGGAACTTGGAAGGCAATGCACATATGCATGACGCACAGAATCTTTGTAATATGTAGCTAATATATCTTTAACATGGACTGTAGTTAGGGTACAAGAAATTGCTTTAAAATCAGTCCAAGTCGATTACCCGTCGAGTGAAACACAGTTGATAGCTTGCGGCAGGATATCCGGTGAATATTTCGACACGACGTAATTTGCTTCCAGCGATGGCTTTTGCTCGATCGTCTCATGCTTGACTACCTGCGTCGAGCATTCCGCAAGCCGACGATCATATTTTACAACAGAACGCTAAATGTACGTGAGCGTTCTCGTGGAAACTTTTACTCATAGATAAAAAAAGAAGCTAATGGGAAAGAAATAAAGTACGAAAGCTGTAGGTAGGTAAAAAAAATTCTTTTGGCGTGACGTCAACTTTGGCAGGTATTATAAATAATATCTCGCGAGATATTTCACCCGTATAGGAGTTCATGATCATTCATCAGTCCTGCAATACTCATCCAGTTTTCTCTCTCTCATCTTTCCCTCTCTTAACATATGTATATATAACTGTTATATGTACGCAGATATAACCGATAATATATTATGAACGACAGGGTCCAGAAAAAAGAGACTAATCGTTTACCAAAAACTCGAGACGTTATTTACATCAAACAGGGAGCTTTATTTTGTACAGTATATTATATTTGTTGATGAATTATCCGTAAAATTTAATATATAGTCACAGCAGAATATAGGTATAATATAGTATATAAGTGTAGCAGGCAGTAGGTGGATGGTTACTCTGGTCCGCCATTAGGCTGACATTTGCACGCAATACAACCCCTTTTATACTGTTTATGTGTGTACTTTGATTATCTGAACTCCCTGGACATTCGTGGTATTTTACCCTGGTGTGTCTACACAAGGCAGAGGGAAGTTCGCGAAGGAACTCGTTCGCCAAATCGTTCGGCAAAACTCAGTACCGCAATACTAGGCTACTTTAGCCAGCCGAGTGGCAGTTACCCCTTTAAACGGAAGAGTATAAAATTCCGCGGCAATTTTAAACCCCTTCCTGTCGCAAGATAAGCTCGTGGATAATTAGGTAGCCAGGCACACGTGAAGGTGCTTATCCACTCATAGCGCTTTCCTTCGCCTCCAGGTATACCTGTACCTCTTTATCTACCTACGTAACATACATATGCATGTACGTACGAGCTTTGATACCCAAATCTTTTTCACAGATACGAGATCATCCCTTCAGGGATGATTTACCTTTGACCTCATATTTTACAGTGTTTTGGAATAAGCGTTTCCATAAGATTTTATTTTTCTGTCTCTGAACAACATCTCACTAATGTTCTCATTTGGGAGATGAAGAATAATAAATAAAGTAGGGAAATGTAGTTGGACTTTTTATGGTACCAAGAACTTAGGTGTTACTAAAAATCTAAACTTTAGTAAAGGCCCTTACGACTGTAATATTTCTTCAAAAAAGTATTTATTTATAAGAGAAAAATAAATGATGCTGAAATAGATTTGATTGATTCAAAAAAATAAAGCAATCTAATAGTGCACAATCAAATTTTCGAAACCAGTATTGCATAGGTGGGCATCGATAAAGAACATTATGATAAGTGTGCACGCGTTCATCCCTCACGAAAGCATATTCCCCCCTTCAGGTATAACAGGACAAGTTTTGCAGTTTTTTGGTTATTATAAAATCTATCATTCGTCTAGGTCGCGTGTTCATAGTGAAATGGAACAGGCATATCACTACAGGTACCACTTAAGCTGCTATAAGATGTGGTTGGGGAATATTCCCGAGATTCGGGATACTCCTGTTGTCAGGTAGCCTTAACTAAAAGGAATACCGGTCTGTAACTATTGCTCGTTACACAATTTGGTGGTTATTTACACGAAGGTCTGAGATGGGGAAGATAAGTATAATCTTACTCGAGTCAAGTACGCATAGTTACCACTCACTATAGTCACCTCGACCTCGTTGTCACGTCTCGCATACACGTGAATGTGGTTCTTCGGCAGTTGGGTTAAGTTTCAAGGGTGTTTATGCAGAGTCATTCATAAAGCGGGAAACTGCTGTAGGATTACCGGCGACGTTACCGAGGTTAGGTAGTCGTGGCTACCAGATCCTTCAGCCTCTCGAAACTTTGTGATGTTCCGGTTTAAGAGATTGAGATTAAGAAGGATTTAGGGGACGTCTTGAAATTTTACTCGGCTGACAAAGTGAAAGGTCGTAATGTGTTTTGTGCGCAAGCACAGATGTCGCATGTGCGTTCAGAAGCTGCACATAGCAAGGAATGAAAGATGCACCATTTTTGTTCTTATTTCGCTCTGTGTAATTATGCGATTCAAGTTACCATGATTGCATACATATAATTTGTTTCTTGTGAAATAAACAATTTCCTTTATAGCAATATACAGGGTGATTCACTAGAAATCATAAATATCTACCTCTGTTGTGCAAGCCCAAAGAAAAGTGTTTAGGATCATATTGTTGAGAGAGTTTTATTTTAAACAGTAAAGATGCCCCTGATAACTTGGAAAAATTGTTTCTTGAAGAATTTTTTAGACCTTCCCAGTCAAGGGATATTTATAGGTGTTCGGTTTCTAAGGGTTCCTCCAGTATCAATTTCTTTCTTACTCGTGCATAGTGATGTTCGTGTTTCTTTTATTTTCTCTGTTATAGTTATTAGTTTTTCTGTTCATCATTACATATACTCATCTTTCGGTTTCCAATAGTCAGAATTCTGACAAGAAGCGAGGAAGCTCAAGAAATACATTTATTTCTATATGATATATACGGAGATGCAGTATGTGAAAATTCAAATAGATTCTTCTTTCTATTGAAAGAGGAACTAAAGCTGCTTACTGGCATATCTCCTGTATTATTGCTTCAACACAGTCTTCCGCCCTCTTACCTTTTCTCGTCGTATTTTCTGCTATCCTCTATGCTAGTATAATTGAATACGACTGCATGTAACTTTATTATTTTTCGTTGTGACGTATTGGCCTAATATTTGTAACAGTTACGTTACCGGCAGTCCAGACATTAGTTGTTCTATTCCTTAAGGGGCTACATCTACCTAGAGACCCAAAAACAATGTCGAAATTCGAAATTTTTTTTTCTGAGAAACGATTGACGAAAATGAAACGCATTTTTTAAAACACAAAAGTACATGTATTAAGTGCCTTTAAAAAGAATCATTAAAGTAGTACTTTGCGATACAAGTGCGAGAAAGCGAACTTTATAGGCAAGCGGTGAAGTTGGTCGCACGAGCCGCACACGAGTAACACAACGGCACGGCTTGTTTTACGAGTACGGCGAGTGTGACAAACTTCACGACCTGCGTATAATGTTCGCTTTATTGTACCAGTATCGCATAATATTTTCTGTAACGAATGCATGAAAAACGCTACTTTGTGTGCCTTCATAGTGACTGACACATCTCCTCATTGGAGGAGGCAGCCATAAGAAGAGCAAGGAAGCCTTCAAAAGTGAATGCATTTCATGACAGCGCGCGAGAACAAAGTTCACTTTATCGCACTAGTGCGAGAAGAAAGCACTAGTGCGATAATGTAAAATTGGGCCGATTTGCGCATGTGCAGCATTTTTATCGTATCCTTAGTTATAAAGCGCCACTTTCGCCACACTTCGGAGGCACGAAAAGTAGCGTTTTTCATGCATGGGTTACATAAAGTATAGAAAAAAAACTAATGTGGCCGTCGGCAGATGATGCAATTTTGTTCGCACTCTCCAGCAGAAACGGTTTATCTGCAATCTAAAAACCAATCGGGTTATTCAAGTTAGCAATAAATACGAGTCGTTGACGATCGACGATTTTTTAAATATTTTTTTTACAAAATGGCGAGGAATTGAAACTCGAGCATAAAAAATGTATTAAAAAAGACGTTATTTTTACGTAACTACTAAAATCTGATGATCGACTTAAAAAAGTCAACGACCTCTAAATATTTCTCATCGTATTTCGCGTAAATTTGAAAACAATCCATCGAGTGGTTCTCGAAATATGATATCCACCGGCTTCGAAAACAGTGTTTTGATAAAAACACGTTAAAAGTATGATGCTGTTATTTTTACGTGACGGATTTTTTACTTCACTTTTAGTAGCCAATTCCAGGGATATTTAAGGTACTCTCTGCAGCAATTGCACCTTCATGCAAAGAGGAATTGCGAGTAATTCTTCCTTCGGGCGCCGCCCTCCTGAGTTCGGATTTCGAATTCGGAAAAAAAACCACGTTAAAATCGATACCCGACCGCTCGCCCGGCCTACAGCTAGAAGTTATAGCTCAGTCAATTTTCATAATATGTTAATGAAATTTTTAGGGACTATAGCTAAAAGGCGACACTATCGAATAGAAATATTTTTGGAAAATGCAGTTTTTTGACCCATCTACGTAGACTTAGTCTCTTGATAGATGTCTCGGGGCACCAAGAATTCCTAAAGGAATATCCTGGCGATCTATATGTCGATCGTTCCTTTTCACTTTGGACGGTCGACAGGACACACGCGCTATTGAAAATTGCGATCATCTACGCAGGTATGTTTGGACCGCAATTATAACTCAACATTACAAATTCGTCTGTTAATTACTTTGTTTTTGTCTTACCGAAAAAGGCT